TGATTGTTTTGAGGAAAATGAAAATATAGATGTTTTGTTCCGCTGTGTTTGATGATTCATAGTAGCTCTGTGTTTGTGTGTCTGTTGAGTTGATTAATTTGGAAGATTCAGTTCAGGAACCAATTCCAAAGCCAGATCCTGGATAAGAAGGTTTTGTCGCGATCCGGCTCGGGCGGGATCCGTCCCCGTCGGGTCGGGTCGTGACATATCTGGTAGTAGGCCATTCGATCGCCTCCATCAACATACCACAAACCTTTCCTCTAATGGGTTGTCATTTCCCGATCCCCTTTGTCAAAATGTTGTTTGACCATCACCCTTGGTGCACTGCCTGATCATCACCATCGGGGCACCACTTGACCACCACTATCGACGTGCCATCCAACCACCTCAGTTAAATAGTTGTTGATGTCTATCTTCATCACCCTTTTTTCTGGGGAAGAGCTTGGATGGAGGACTTAAAGCTTGGAACCTCTGTTGAAATTCAATAAAGCTCTACATCTCTAAGGATCCTGAAGCATCACCATCGACCTATCACACAATCATCATCATCGACCTCCATCGTGAGCCAACTATGGTCCATTTGACCTTCATTGCCAGTTAAATATGGCCCTTCAACATCTGTTGTCTAACTATGGTCATCCAATATTCGTCACCTGCAAACTACAGTCCTCCGACCTTCATCACCTACCAACTACAGTTCTTGGATCACCATTACCTGACTACGGTCCTTTGACCACCACAGTCGATTACAATCCTCTAACCATCTCACCTAACTGCGGTCGTTTCAACCATCATTGTCCATCAACTACAGCCCTCTAAGCTATGTTGTCTCACCAACACGGTCCTTTCAATATTCGTCACACAACTACAATCCTCCAACCACCATCGCCCAACTGTTACCCTTTTGACCTTCATTGCCTACTATCTATAATCCTTTGAAATCTGTCGCCCACCTATTATAGTCATCTGACCGATAATCTTTTAGCTATTATCACAAAGCTACTATCAATGCCTATTGGCTTTATCACCTACCAATGTTGGATTTTTGCCAAAGAGCTCTTCCAACTTTAACCACATAATACAACAACAACATCAAGCCTTTGTCCCACTACATGGGGTCGGCTACATGAATCCTTTTTCGCCATTGTGTCCGGTTAAAAGTCAAATTCTCATCTAAATCTAATAAAGAAAGATCATTTCTAATATTTTCTAACCAAGTCCTTTTAGGTCTACCTCTACCTTTCTTAACATAAGCCAAATCTAATACCTCAACTTTCCTAACCGGGTCATTGGAAGGTCTCCGTTTAATGTTAACTTTAACCACATAATATGTTAATTAAATTATATAAATAGGAAGGACATCATTTGTAATTAATGAAAAATATTAGCGGTATTATTTCAATTGGGTCAGGTCTCGTGATTTTTTTCTTTTCTTGAAAATTTAACGTAAAAACATATGGTGACACCTGTAATTTTTTACACTCATCTCTTTATTTGTACGTGCGCGCTGAATATTCATGCAAAACTAAAATGTTAACCTACATATTTCTCTATGTTTGGGCACACAACAACTTTAATAAATAGATATGCGACCTAGTGATTAAATTTTAATTGACACAACTAATTTTTTCATCACCGCCTTAAAAATAGCGAGAGGAGTGCTAAGTAAGACTCAAGTTGATTTTGGGTGCTATTAAACTCTTTTATAATTCAGCTTATTTTACTTTAAGACATTTATCTCATGAAATAGCACCGTCGACATATTAATACAAAAGATAAACATTAAAGTTCCAAATTATTCAAAACAAACTATTTAGTTGAAGACAGACTGGCAAAATGATCTAAACACTACTAATAAATTAAACTTTTGCATTACTTTTTAGGACTTACTGCAGTGGTTTAAACACCTAGCTATTAATTTATCTGCAGCGGTTTAAAATTGACAGTGAATTTAGCAGTGTTAAAACCGTTGTCTATATCTATCTAGATATAGTGGTGATTTTAAAACCGCTGCTATAAACTGTTGCGAAAACATTACCTTTTTGGTAGTGAACATCCATGTAGATTTTACAAAACATTTTACTTATTGAATATATTTATATAATTATTGCTTATTTACCTTATTATTTTAGTGCATATTTAAAATTGAATCTATCCAATTTTCCAAGTTTGTGAAGTAGTGAGATTTATGTTTTGTTTGAGACGGCTTTTTTATTATTCTCTAAAGCATATTTTTAGCACAAATAAAAAAAAATTGTACTAGAAAGTGACAAAAAAGCCGTTCCGAACTTTTGGGACTTGTTTGGGATGACTTTCTTATTGCATTTTAAAGCAGTTTTTTAGTACAAAAGTTTTTTTAATTAAAATTTTTAAACTAAAAAACTGCTTTAGAAAACAGTAAAAAAAACTATTCCAAGCGAAAATTTAGGCTTCATTTGGGACGATTTTTTACTGTTTCTTATAGCAGTTTTTCACTACAAAAATTTTAATTATTGAACTAAAAAACTATTTTAAGAAGCGGGAAAAAAGCCGTCCAAACGAAGCCTTAGTCTCATGAGTCATGTCTCCTTGGAGAAATATAGAGAAGCATTTCTATAAAAGTGATCCTTTTAATGGTAAAAATAGCAGAGCATATATTATAAGAAGATACATGCATATGAGCCACTTGTGAGCCTAATAGATTTTATTGAGCATTTATATTTATAAGTGAAAGATTGGGTAGTTAGGTGTTCTTCGTGCTTGATGATGATTATTTAATTTTAGAATTAATTAAAATTATTGATTGTCAAAAACTACGATTCTTTTAAAACATGATCAAGTAGTGGATGTAACCACCCATTTATGTCTGAACCTCACAAGTGATTATAAAATAAGATTTAATGAATGTTCATGAAATTTTATATAAATAATTTCTCGTTGACATCTTAAGAAATTTTAATGCTCTATTATGATTTTCTTTTGGAACATCTTTTTTATTGCTTTCTAAAGCAGTTTTTTAGTACACAAATAATTCAAAAAAAAAAAAATACTAAAAAATTGATTTAGAAAGCAGTAAGAAGGTTGTGTCAAACGAAGCCTATATCTTGGATGTAAACTATCTAACCTTATTTTCTTATTCGGAAAATTCAAGTTTAACATCTTGAAGGAGATTTTGATAGAGGAAGCATCGTTTGGGATAGATTTTTCAATGCTTCTTAAAACATCTTTATAATACAAATACTAAAATATTTGTTTTAAGAAGCATTAAAAAAGCTGTCCCAAACTAAGCTTAAATTCTAATGAAAGTTCAATTCCAGAATGAGGAGATCATAAAACTTCATAGTTTTAATGGGACAAACTAAACTTATGAAAAGGATAAGATGATCATCCATTTTGCTTAATTTCAAGCAATTTACAAATCAGCAACTTGAGAGTGAGACACTTTAATATGTTCGGACTACGAACCAAATTCTCTTATCAACCAGCTACATAATTTTTATCGAAAATGATTTCATCAAGTATGAGTTGATTTTGAGACTGAGTATAAAAATAAAAATAAATGTAAAAACAAATTGTGACTCAAGGATTTAGCATTTAATATGAATGATGTGAATTTCACATAGAAGTCCAAATTGATGAAGTAAGATCAAATATACAAGTAAAAAATTTTATTAGAAATAAGATTTGAACTTCATAAACACAAGTAACTTGAATATGAACATTTCAGTGGCACCAAAGCTTCTCTGAACACAAAGTGAAATATTGGTTCAAGGGTGGCCTCCAGTGCTAAGATTTTCTCATTAGATAGATCAATTGACACATGAAAAACATTTCACCCTCTATGAATTGACTAACGGTAAAGTCTTCGGGTGCTTCCTTTGCATCCACCCTTGTCAAAATATTCTTGAGTGAACTTCACTAGAAACCTGGGAAGGGACTACCATCCTCGAATCCCCCTTCAGACACTCACAGATCATCTTCAAGAAACCTTTGTGTTGAGTTTCAAACAATCATTGATTATGAATTGACAATTACCATTTGTAATTTAAAACTTGACATAATCTAAGTTGTTCAATATCTTGAGTCTCCCAAAATAAAATCTTGCTATCCAAGAATCCTTTTTACTCATCCCTCAATATTAAGCTCCTAGACTGATTTCAAGACTTATAGAATCATTCATATAGTAAAACTATTCTTTTAAGAATTCAAACACCCACTAAAGCTCCCTAAGAGTTCTTAAAACTCATTCTCAAACTAAAACCTATTTGAAGTTTCCAACCACCAAACAAACTTAATAGCTATAAAAGTAGATACATTGAGTTGTTTATATACTTATCTAAATCATTATGAAAACAACTATATATATTCAAGCTTATCAAACTCCTAAAAACAATTTTTTTAACATCTTAAATGCTTAATAGAAATTTCTATATTTGGCCAAAGCTTTAAATTTACACTCTTAAAATTTCCTTAAAATCACTTTCTTTTTACCTATATTTTTAATTTAATTTGACTCACTGTTTTTCATCTACTAAATTTATTTTAGTCATATCTTTCATTAACCGATTATGAGTATCTTATTTAAATACCTCTGTTTTTCACTAATATTATAAGTACTCCTATTCATCATTAATGAGACTGATAATTTTGCACTATCAAAATTATATCGAACAAAAATTATTGTATATGCTTATTTCAATTGCATTTAGATTAGATAAACCTATAATTTTAAAAATATTACTATTAAAGAATCTTATACTTCATCAATACAATATTTTGTCGTTGAGTTCGTATTTTCGAGACGCTCAGTTCGGGTATAAGCTTGCTGAAATCGGAGTTAGGATGGTCTCTGAATTAATTTTGAAAGTTTCCAACTTGATTTTGCATTGAGATTCGTGCCCGGTCCAATTAGTTTTTTGAGAACGTATCAACTATTAAAGAATCTTATACTTCATAAATACAATATTTTCAATTAACGGTTGGCTTCTCATTTATTTTCCACTTCATTGAAACAATTAAATACTTGCATTAAAATAGTTTTATGTACTATTTCCCATTTGTTTACCACTTTTCCACTGAAATTTGTCCACACTTAGTATTTCTCCTCAAAAACCATTATATATTAAGCTACACAAAAAATGTTCAATTATTTTATTTTTTAAGTTTAAAATTATTTAAAAGTTTATTAAATGTTTTGCTTGACAAAAAATGTCCAATTATTTTATTTTTTAAGTATTTTTCATACTCCTCCATTAAAATCTCGATTAGCCTCCAATTGGAAGTTTATAACGTATTCCAAAGTTTGAAATAAACGTCGAATGCCGAATACTCCAAATCTCCTTCACTGCATTAATACGCAACAAACCAATCAGAGAATAAAGAAAATAAGCAAAATAGCAAATGGAGCGCTTACTTGTATGGAACGAGACGGCAAACACTGGATTCAAACTTGACGGCGTCTGTACGAACACGAGGGAGAATTTAACGACGACGAAAACGCACCGCAGTTCCAAACGCCGATAACGTCGACGCAGAATTACAATGGAACGGGAGAAACGGATGAATCATCTGCAACGGAAATGACGTTCAATCAATTCATCATTCAGAACCCAAATTATGACGATGGTCCGAATTTAAATTATTTTAATCACAATGATTAAGGTTTTAATTTCATTAATCATAAGTTGTTTCTTGAATGTTCATGTTCTTATTCACTGATATTTTGGTTCATTGAGAAATAGTTGGGTGCAAACAAATCATCAAACAATGTACATAGCAGCGCAGGTCTGACCGGTTCTGTCGTTCCCGCTTCTTCTATCCGATTTCTCAGTACAAAAATGAAAAATAAAAAAACAAACAAAATTGTAAAAAAAAAACTCCATGATTTCACGCCTATGGAGATCTCGACGTCTCCGATCCGAAGGGTGGATACCGTCATACCGCCGTTGAAGAGGTAACAGGACAGGGCTGAAGGGCTTAGGAGCGAAACAAACCTGCGCCGAAATCAACAATCCGTTCGGCATGATTGATCGTCGGCAATGGACATTTTGGAGAGCCGACTAGGACGCGGCTGGAAGTCGGCTCTCCTCCGCTGTCGATGCGACGAGGGTCGAATCAGAGCGGCCAGGGCTCTCTTGACTAGATCACCCTCGACAGTTCCGATCCGTACAAGTGAATTAGTCATGGCCGATCGCCGTGCATTCAGCCGATTCGACGGAGACGAGACGGCTGCGGCCGGATTTTGCCTCAGGCCTTTGTGGAGGCTACATCGGAAGGAGCCGGGGTGGGTGGTTGGCGAGCACATGCAGGTTTTCCGGTGTCCGGAAGCGGAAATCGAAGTTCGGACGACAGGATCGCGTCTGGAGACGACGGAGATGGACCGGCCGGGGGAGCTGGGGCGATCGAGGGAGAAGCGGATAGAGTGTGTCTGCGGAGGAGATCCAGTGAGGTTCACGCGGGTTGGCGAGGCAGAGCGAGGGAAGAAAGTCGTTGATCGATCGGAGAAGCTCGAAGAAGAGTTCGCAAAGCCTCTGGCTGAGGAAGATGCCCCCGGGGTTGAGCAGAATCGGCCGGACGGCGAGATCGGCCTTTGGAACCGATTTGTAACACCCAAAACAGGAGTGTTTGACCTGGCTCGAGAGGACGCCGCCATCTTCTTTAAGATGTCTTCTGCTCTTCGATTTTTCAAACGAAGCTTACCTCCGGCGAGCATTTTATAGGACGTTTTTGGATGGGAGGATGAGCAAAACGGTAAACGTTTACTGGAATAAAATTGTAATGGTGATGGATTTTGAACGGTCAGGATTCATCGCTTCAGAGCTGATTCGTCCTCGAGGCCGTGGGCGACGGGCGTGTGTGACAGTGCTGACAGTATTATCCGACAGCTGACACGTGTATTCTGAATCAAGCCAGAAAATTACACGTGTATTACACTCAGATATATATAATTATATATAATAGTACGCGATAAACACTGGATAAGATAAATTTATAAAAATTAAATAAATCTTATAATTTAAATTGATTTATTTATAAAAATAAACTAATATAATATATTAGACTTTTTATTTAAAAAAATGGGTCAAAACTCTGATCAAAATAATTTTAAATTTATTTTTTAATTAATGTATAATAAATTTTAATTTATATTTAAGTATCACACTCATTTTAACTAAAGTATAATTATCTTAAATAAATATAAACTAAATTTAATGATAATATCAAGTTAGGATTTTTTTCCTATTATTTTTAAAAATTTATTATCAGTCAAAATTTTAAGATTTGAGATTTACATTTTAATTATAAAATCTCCTCATTGAATCTTTTTGAACTAGGATTTAATAAAAGTTAAATTTTTATTTCATATTTTTTTTCAGGAATATGATATTGTTTAGCATGAAAATATCCTTTTGTATTAGTTTTAACAGCTAATAAACAAATCGTTCAATAGGAAGTATAATCCTATAGTGCCCTCCTAAAAGAATTTACGTGAATACATGCTCTACGATTAAGGGGTTGTTCGGTTAGCGAAAAAATAGTAGGGAGGTCAAATATAGTATTAAAAATTTATATATTTGAAATATTTGAAGTAATTTGAATAAATATAAAGTAATTCATGGTGATTTTTTTTTATTAAAGTAGAATGAATGCATCATATAAAATTTAAATATGAAGGTGTCAATGGTAGAGGGTGGTAGGGCAATGACAAGCGGTGGTGGGTGGCGGCAATGGTGGCATCAACTAGTTGTCGCTATTGTCGGACAGTGATAATCAGTGGTTGTCAGAGTCAATTGGTGGTGACCAGAGGCAGCAGAGGATGGTGATGCATGCAGTAACTGGGAAGGTAGATGATGATGATGGGTTATGGTAGTCAATAGCAGCGACAACATGTCACTAGTGGTTATAAGTATGAATGAGGCATGTGTAACAACTCAAGTTCTTAAAAATTGATATATTTTCCGCTTTAGCCTAAGGGTCTCACGATTTTATCTTGTTAACTTCACATGAGGTCACTCATCCTAGAATTTCTCTGGAATGAGCTCGCTTAACTGCTGAGTTTCTTTATGAAATTTCAATCGTTATATTAAAAGGCTCCTCGATATCGAAGAATTTAGCTTCTTTTTGTGGTTTCATAATTTCCTCTACTTAAGTAACTGACGTCATTGTCAGTATCTTTATCTTAAAATCATCTGCTAGACAAATAAGATTATAGAGGCGGCACCTACAAGTTCAATTGATGTCTCCTGTCATGTAGCACTTTGTCCCATATAGGATTCAAGAGATGGCTCCAATGACTTAGAATTTTATCTTGTATAGGGGGTGTCAATTTCGGGTCACGTGTCGGGTTTGATCCGGGTTCAATCGAGTCGACTCTAACACGACTCGGATAGGTAAACAGGTCGAATACTCGAACCCGGACCCGACCCAGTGGGTTGCCGGGTTGACCCGACCCGGGCAGGGGGCGGGCAGCCTAGCGCCGGTCCACGGGAAGCCGGGTAGTCATTTTAAACAGGTTTTCGGGTTGACCCGGCAACCCGTTAGGTCAACCCGAACCTGACCCATTTTTTCAAATGGGTTGAATCTGTGAACTCTTTCCCGAACCCAAACCCGACCCATTTTTTAAACGGGTCGGGTCCAACCTGGATTTTCGTGTCATGTCAAATATTGACAACCCTACTTGTATATCACTTAGTTCACATCTTCTAGTTAGTGTATTTCTCCAATACCATTTATAATAATCTAAACTTTTAATTATCAAGAGATTATTTGCTTTATCTTAAGAGTATCACGATTTTCTCTTATTAGTGTAACTTCTCATAATGTCATACATTATAGGATTTCTCCAATATGAGCATGCTTAACTATGAAGTTTATTAAATGAAATTTCAATCATTACACTAAAAAGGTGCCTCGATATTTAAGAGTTTAACTTCTTTTTACTTAAAGATTTCACAGTCTCCCTCACTTTAGTAACTAACATCTTTGTCAGAATCTTTATATATCTCCTAATCATCCACCAGACAGATAATATTCTAGAGGTGGCTCCTATGACGTAGCACTATATCTTGTATGACACTTAGTTCTCATCTTCTGACTGGTGTATTGCTATGATACCATTTATGACAGTTCAAACTCTTAACTTTCGAGATATTGTCTATTTTGGCTAAGTGCCTCACGATTTTATCATGTTAGTGTGACTTCCCAGTAAATTACCTATCCCACGTTTTTTTTGTGATGAGGATGCTTTATTCCACATAAGTATACAAATGAATCACATGAACTAGTAAGATCACATAATTATAAAATGCATGCTTAATGCCACATTAATATTGCCACTTCTTATATATCAACCTTAACCAATAGTTTTTATTAGTACAATCAAGTCAATATGAGCAGTTCTATATTAATGTTCATATTCCCCTCGTTTTAATATCATTACCACCCATCATCTCACTTGTTCCTATGCATTTTATATTATGTGTATCATAATAATAAATATCATGTATGATCTCCTATTCATCATGTAAAACCACATGCTCATCATATGCATGTATAATGCCAAAATGTATGTCAATGTCAAATGAATAGAATCATATACATATTAAATATTCATATCCAAATTTAGTACATTGTCACCTCATAACTTTGTAGTGAGTATTGCTCCCACTTATTTCAAGTAAAATAACATAGATACAAAACAAATCAATGAAATTATCATATAAGCCAATTAAAATGATTATAATAACATTATTTATCACATATCAAATTAGAGTTACACGGTGAAAGTATAAATAAACAAGAGATATCATATTCTTTATCACTTTTAGGAGAAAGAAATATATCAAACTTAAAATTATTGAAAACAGATGTAGAGTAGAGATCGCTTATTACAATTAGAACACTTATAATAACATAAGCGACAGACAAAAAAGCCCATATATAAGAGCTTCCTCTTTCTTCTCTCTCTCATCTTCTCTTATTCCCTTTCTCGACTCCTTCCCCGCCAAGAAACAAAATAAGGGGGAGGGTGGCTGAGTGGAAGAAAAAAATATATAAAAAATATTTTTCAATGCCTAGCGCCATGAAGCTCCCATAACCTAACGCCTTAGTGCTGGATATAAAATAACATTGCATTGTAGCGCCACCTCAGTGCCATTGTGCTGAATTATTTTCAAAAGTTCCAGTGAGCTCAACGCCATGTACAACAACATTTTCCCGATGCCTCCTAGTGCCGCTATGCTCTTAGGCACAACGCCGCATCGCTCTCATGCAGACTTTCATATTTTCCATTTTAAAATATTTTTCAAATTTTAGGTTGTTATAGATGTGGAGAATGAAAGCCATTTATAATTTTTTTTAAAGTAACATTTTGGTAAATCTAGCCCAAATCTCAAAACACTTTATCGGATAACTCATGTGATTCATTTGATCACAAACTATTCTTTCAATATTTAAGTGTTTTAGTGATCGCATAATCAACTAATCTTAATATTCTTGGATTCCTTCATTGAGGAACTCATTTTGATAAGATGCACATAAAAATTGTAAAATTTGATCCTTCAATTAACATTTAATTTGAAGTTTTCAACTACACTTCAACTGCTTAGTCTTGGATTAATTTGGACTCAAATTTGATTACTTTTAGTGTATTAGGCTCGTCTAATAGAGAAATTTTAGACTATATAAATGTTTAGATCAAAGTCTAGATGATCCTAAATTTTATTAAGAAAGTTTTCAATACAAAAAATATATGAAGATTTATGTTGATTAAGTAATTTTTTTGATAGCAAATCAAAGGTTTTACAATTAATTGGGAAATATAATTGGATGCTGATTTTAGATGTTTATAAATAAAATTTACTATATTATTTTAATTTATAATCATGAGCAACTTCATAGTCTATTTCTAATAGAAGTTTCTATGTCGAAAGTGAGCAAGCCCCATGCTTGACTTCAGAACGATCACAATGTGTAAGAACCTATCATAAGCCCACAATATTTAAACGCAGACTGATTCAACATTAGAATTTTCAAATCAAAAGAGAAAACAGAAAATGAGCATGAGGCTACAACACCATGCAATGATTAACGGTTCATTTTGGGACGGCTTTATTTCTGCTTCTTAAAGTCGCTTTTAGTACAAAAATTTTATGTGCAGAAAAGCTGTTTTAAAAAGCAATAAAAAAGTTATCCCAGACGAAATCTAAATCATACTTCTAAAGGAACTTTGACCTTTTTAATTCAGCTACTTATGCTTTGTGTGAGAGCTTTCATATTATTTTATAAATCAAATTTTTAGTATAATTTTTTTTACCGAAAAACTTTTTTAAAAAGTATAAAAAAGCTGTTTGAAATAAACCCTTAATTTTCAAGTCAATGGAGTTATGGCGGCCCAATGAATTTGCTCCATGTGTTTGATTGCCTACTTAGAGAAAATTGCATAACGGTAGGACTTGCAAAGTCAACTGATGAGTTAGGATGGATCTAACTTATTATCTATGAAATAAATTGATTGAGGATATCCTGATAAAATTAGATCATGATAAATATAAAATAATCTTAATTAATTATGAGAGTAAAAATTAGTTAATTATCTATATATCACACTCGTATAAAATAAATTTTAAATTTTTAAAATTCATTCTGCCCAAATTTTAATAATAATATCCCGACCAAATTT